GGGGGGGGGGGGGGCACGACTCAGATGAGGACATATCATGAGTTTTAGGCCTGCGTTTGGAACGGGAGCCGCGGTGGGACAAAAAAATGCGGGAAGTTGCGCGGGGGGGGAGGGGTCGGTCGTGCAGGAGGAGGGAAGGGGTGCGATGTAGGGGGGGGGGACAGGAGCAGCGAACGTGTCAGAGGTGGATGTACTCATACTTAGTAGTCGTGCATGCCGTAGTCGTTAGACCATTGACCTCGCATCCCTACAAAGCCGGGACGGAGCACGCCGGGTTCTCACCGGACCAGAGAGAACGTGTCAGAGGTGGATGTACTCATACTTAGTAGTCGTGCATGCCGTAGTCGTTAGACCATTGACCTCGCATCCCTACAAAGCCGGGACGGAGCACGCCGGGTTCTCACCGGACCAGAGAGAACGTGTCAGAGGTGGGAAAGAACAAAGCCATTGCGCAAGGTGAAAGTTGGCCGACATTAATGCCCGCACGCCTGGAGGAGGGGCACTCAGGGCAGGGCGGCTACGCAAAAAAAGAGACCGGAAGAATCGGCATAACACTTGACAGATAGACAACGCACACACCGACCACAATGCAGAGAGACTCAATGACTGACAGACACACAGACACACAGCACAGACGAGGCTGGACAGGACTGACAGACGGACACACAGAAAACAAGGCTGGGCAGACTAGACAGACAGACAGACAGACAGACAGACAAGGCAGGCTGTTAATGCCGGTGTTCAGAAAGAAAACCCATACCTACACCCTGAAACAGCAAACGGCAGTCAAGAGAGAGAGACACACACGCATACATATAGTATTCTTCTGTTGCTACCGTTTCTGTCTTTGACCCGGAGGATAGACATATCTCCCCCATGCCGCCCCCTCGCGGGGTCCCAGTTAATGGCATCTAGAAGTGTTTTGTGCTTTCAACCGCACTAAGACTGACGTTTTTTCATCGGCCAGCCGGTTAGCGCGGTCCATGCCAATAACAAATACTTACACCCTGAAAGAGCAAATGTCAGACAAGAGAGAGCGAGAGACACCCACCGACATGAGCTGCTTGGGTTCCAGCGACTCCACCTCCAGCAGCAGGTCCATCTGTTTCCCGTCACGCCTCGAAACGCTCCCCCCCGCGTCGCTCCCGCCGCCGCCGCCGCCCCCTGCGGCTTCGGCGTTGGCCTTCTCTTTCTCCTGGTCGATGGCAGCCACCACTACCGAAAAAACAGAGGATTGCAGTGCGTGCGGCCGGTGAGAAACCTGACAAGGCTGCCCCGTGATGCCTGGTCATAATTCGTATGTCATACTTCGTATGTAATACTTCGTGTGTACTTCGCATGTGGTACTTCGTGCGTAATACTTCGTACTTTGGAGATGAGCACCAATTGACGGGTTCACAAAATCCGGTTCTCGAAAGAGTCAATTCACCCCCATTGCCTCTCACGCGTGCTTGCCGGAAGCAACAAAACAACCGTCGTACCGCCGCCCTGTGCATCAAACCTTCGGTGGTCGTGGTGGTCAGGGTTTTCGCCACTTCCCGCGAGAGATGGCGGGGGGGCGATAACTCACCTTCGCAAGCGAAGTGCGTCTGTTTTGCAACGCTGTTCTAACAAACAAACGCACCCACATTGACTGCCGCCAACAACGACCCTCACCCACGTCCCATTCCGTCATCGCCGGCCCCTGCCGCACCCCCCCCCCCCCCCCCCCCCCCCCCCCCCCCCCCCCCCCCCCCNCGTCGTCTTCGACGACGGTGCCGAATGCTGGGGCTGCGGGGAGGACGACGCCAGTCTCGAAGCCATCCTCGAGGACGCGGTGGTGGGGGGGGGGACGGGGCCCTTGCGGAGGTGCGTGCAGCAATCCCTCGCGATATTCAGGTAGTCTTCCGTGGAGTCCGCCCTACGGTTCTGCACCACGACCTGTTCAACAGAGGGGGGGGGTCCGTGTTGGTAGTCGGGTTGTAGAGGCGTATACATACCGTATATGACACAAGATAACACACCCCCTGGACCAATTTTCAAAGCTCGATTACTCCACGACGAAGAGGATGCATAAACGAAACGATACATTTTTGGAAAGTTCTCGACGAGGCGGTTTCAACGCCGCCGTTTTCGGAGCCGTGACTCTTGCTGTTGTTGAGAAATCGAGATTCGAAAATCGGTGCAGGGGGGGGGGGGGG